TATGTCACATGATCAGAATATTCTTTAATGAAATTTTTAATAAACAATTTTTCATGGAATTTTGTAAAAAATATTTCTCATTTAAAACTATGAATTAAATTTGTTTATTTCAATTTAAAAACATTTTATTAGATTAATAACCAATATTTTGACAGGAATTCGTTGAACTTTTAATTATATTACAATTTTAATAAAATTTTCAACTTTCTCTTCTAATATTTAAGTAACTTTTTTGATAAAATAATCTAAATTTAAGTAATGTTGATAAATTTTTATATTATATTGATAATTTCTTATGGCGTGACGTGTGATTTATACAAATATAACTAATTTATACTTAAATCCTTGAAAAATTGTTTATTAAATTTTTCATAAAAGAATATTCTGGTTATGTGACATATATAACATGCTAACTATTCCTCTATAATTTAGTTTAAAATTATTTTAAAAATTTAAAATACTGTCATACCAAATACTTTCTCTTACTAAAAACTATCCTGTATGAGCTGTTGGGGAGATTATGGACAGATTACAGTCCCTGAACGGTCCTAATAGGCTTACAATCAATGAATTCATATTATCATTGTGTATTATTTGAGTGTTCATTGGATTCATTGGTAACACATCACTTGACTTCCCTTCGCACCACCCTGTATTTTATTAATGATCTCAAACTTTGTCTCAATCGAGTGACTTATCGGTTTTGAAGACATTTTGAACACAATTTATTTAATTAATAGTCAATGTGTTCACACAATAGACAATTAATAAAGCCTTAGATAAAATACTTTCAAAAATATTTTGTGACAGTTTTTTGTTCATACTATTGTTATTTCTATTGGAAATTGATATTTTAACCGTATCCATTAGTTAACAGTATTCATTGTTAACACTATCCATATATTTTTAACATTAAGCCAATGCAATGCGGTTTTTGGTTTTGGGATTTGGTTCATACATACCCTTAGTTCATGGTATACCTGGTTCATGATAAACATGATTTACTGTATAAAGTTTATAAAGTAAACAAACAAATTCTATTTATTAATAATTAAATCAATTCAAAAATTATTTTTAAGATTGTAACAAGAAATCCAAAAATTATAATTTAAATAATTTTAAATTGGTAAGATTTTATAATTGGCATTTACATTGAATACAGAAAATAAATTAATATTAACTGCAAAATGGTTTTATATCTTAATTAAAATATTTGTATGTTATAACTAGGAATGAAAAACAAGTGGAAATAAAAGTGGGTATTATAAAGACGGCTACTTGTATCAATGTGATTAATACAAAACTTATTCACTATTTTAATCAATTTTTAATTCTAAGAAATATTAATACATTATAATAAATTTATATGATTAATTGTGTATATAAACACTTATTTGATAAAATTGTGACTATTTATTACAATTTTCTTGAAAATTTGTTGATTACTCAGCAAATTTTATTATTCATAATATATTTTTTCATCGATTAATAAAGGTTTGAGTGTATTATTAGTATTCACTGATCTAAAATTATTATAAAGGATTAATATTTTTTAAAATCAAAGGAGATTAAAATAATGAATAAGTTTTGTATTAATCACATTGATACAAGTAGCCGTCTTTATAATACCCACTTTTATTTCCACTGTGTTTTCATTCCTAGTTATAACTTAATAACACAAATCCATTAATACTTATTACAAAATTTTCTGATTTTTACCCGCATTTACGAAGTATATGTGGGTTATAAGATCACTTTGGACCACCTCCCGATCCCCACCCCCCCGTCATTAATGACGAAAGTGACGTCACGTTTGGACATGCCCATAGACTTATAATGGAAATTTTTTACAACAATTTAAAAACAATTAAAGGTTTTTTCTATGGAAAATCCCAGCAAAAGTGGGCAAAAGTGTTTTTGATGACGAAATGTCGCTTGTGATTCCAGCCTCATGCTAAGTTTATGGGAACGTGACGACAAAATCAAAGTATGGTACTTTATGAACAAATGGACACTTGCGGGAACCAAAATCCCATAGACTTATAATGGAATGACGTCATTTCGGATGAATTGAGAAAATAAATTTACCCATGAGCTTAAAACTGCGGTGTATATATTCCAGATCCACAACAACGGTTTGAAAATTTTCAAAATTTCTTGAAAATGATAAAATAGCTTAAAAATGCTAGAAATCTCACTAGATCCCAAATTAATTCGTTTAGACCAATAAATGATTTAACTTTTGGAAGATGTGTTTGGAGAACTGTCATGCGAAATACATCCCTCCCCACCCGTCCCCCTCTCTCTCCCTCCCTATCCTCCTTATCCTCCCTATCCTCCCGTTCCTCCCTTTCCTAACTTTCCTCCCTTTTCTGCCTTCCCTTCCCCTGCCCATCTTCTTATAGCCAATCACTTCCTTCTCACTAATTTTACTTTATAAAGCTTCAAAATAAATTTTAATTGTAATTGCACATAATTTTAAATGCTTATTGATTACCGATAAATAATCTAAAATGAATGACATTATAATAGATTCTATAATCGCTAAAATGTAAATGCGGGTTTCTATAGCATTGCTTGCAAACCTTGTTTTTGTTATATAATATAAATAACCTGTTATGTAATCAAAAATTTTAACTTAAATCATTGAAGTTATATGAACTTGAAATACAATAACTATAATATTATGCATACATGTCGAAACTTATGTGAAGACAAAATTATCGGTCCAAGTTTTTCATACAAATATTGTGAGAAAAACTTGTTATCATTTTGTTGAATGAGTTTTAGTGTGGAATCAAATGTGGGATCAGTTTTGAGACAATTCTCATGAATAGACCATAAGTTATATTCCGATAATACTTGCGAACACTCGGGTCTCGCATTTGGGTCATCCCTCACAGACATAGAAACCAATACTCGTTTCAATTCAACGATACATTTGTTTAGTATTTCATTATCTGATGAATACCTTTAGGAGTTATAAAACATAAATAAATTTATATTAATATACAGTATATAAAGTGCTTACAATTAAATTGTTTAATTGTAAAATTACTTACGTTTTGTGAACCATATTATAACCAATAACATCTTTTTCTGCAATTTTGTAAATACTGTAGACATCTATCATATGGTTATACGTGTAGTCATTCCACTCCACTTCCGGCGCACAATAATCCGCATCTCCGACAACGGACTTGTGTTTGTTAACAGTAGCCAAACCAAAGTCACATAATTTTAAAAACCTGCCGTTCCTTACAGTCTTCGCCACTAATATATTATCGGGTTTAAGGTCTCTATGAATGACCGGAGGATTCAATTCATGTAAATATTGAACGCATTCTAAGATCTCTTTGAATATATGACACGAAATGTAAAACTCGATTGNTTCTAAGATCTCTTTGAATATATGACACGAAATGTAAAACTCGATTGAATTCATGGGTTCTCCCGGTTGTCGACCAAATATTTGTGGTTTGTTTTGAAGAGTATTCTTCAGACTATCGGAGCACAACTCCATAAAAATGTAATACACATTGTGGTCAATACATTGATTCATATATTGGACACAATATTCTGACCTAACTTTTTTCAAATTTTGAATTTCTTGCATACATTCCCTGAAATTGTCATAACCTATAAATGTATTAATTTTCATAATTATTAATAATTCGAAATCTACCGAAAAATTATGTTGAAATATATTTTAATACTGTAATAGTTATACTAAATATATCTAAAAATTGACCCCCCTCCCCCCGAAACCCCCCTCGTACATAGGACTTTAACATTGTGTACGCACGCCTTGGCTGACCCCCTCCCCCCATCCAGTGCGTACGTACTTATTGAATGATCCCTTAATTGATTAATTAGTACATTTTATAATTATCTCTCATTTCGAGCGCTAAATCCAAATCTCATTATAATTTTAAAATGTTTAAACAATTAAGCTTTCTAAACAGATTATTTTAATTCTATTTATGCATAAATGATTAATTAATTAAACAAGTTAGCAGGCTTCTGAATTATCCCCCTCTCTTCGGATAGCTTACTTTTTGAATGATATTTTAACAAAACTGAATGAATGGATGGATTGATTTAATTTGTTTTATAGTTGTTTCCGAAGTGAATCAATACAAGCTTTTGTACGAAGAGTTGCATTCATTAGGTTCGGGAGCTTTTGGG